AGTGAATGTGGGGGAGATCCATAAGCCGGCATCAGCTGCGCTACACTCAGATGCTTTCTGATGGAGACAGTACTGCATTTAGGGAGGTTGTTGCACTGAATCCTTATCCAGGACATGAAATAACAAAACTGGAATGTATCAACCATGCACACAAATGTATACGAAAACTTGCACAGGGTAAGTTGGGTGGGAAAGGAGCAGGCAAGCTCACAGCTCCAATGAGTAAAAGCTTGCAAAATTATTATAGAGGGGCAATACTTAATAATCAGGGCAATGTAGAACAAATGAGAACTGCTATTTGGGCTAGCCTCCTACACTCAATGTCAACTGATGAGAATCCCCTGCGTAACAGATGCAAACCCTCATGGTGCTGGTACAGGAAAGCAGAGGAAAATGGTGTGACACCACACAATCACAATGAGCACGCAGGCTGCTCTCTGACAAAAGAGGTTGGCAAAAAGCTCATTCCATTATATCATAGGATGTCCAGCGATAGCCCACTGCAGAACATGCAACATGGGGGCACCCAAAATGCAAATGAATGCTTAAATTCTGTCATTTGGTCAAGGTGTCCCAAAACTGTATTTATTGGTGAAAACAGAGTGGAGGCAGCAGCCAGTTTGGCTATTTCAACATTCACTGAAGGTGCTTCTGCCATGTTATCTGTAACGGACAGATTGTGGCTTGAGACCACAGAGGTCACAGTTAGTGCAATCAAAAGTGCAGACAAGATTTGGATAGTAAAAGCAGATTCTGTGACCTCTGCTTGTGCAAAATATAAAATAAAGAACTGTGACAAAGACAAAAAGGTCAAAAGACACAAGCAAGATCTTAAAGAAGGGCTAACATATGAGGGGCAGGCATGGCAGACTAAGTTGGGGCCTCCTCTCTCCACATCTTACTCATATCCTCTTTCTGCTACACTTCTCCTCGATTTGTCTCTGTGTGTGACTTCCTTGTGTGATTTGTATTATAGACAGTCTATATATATATTCATTTGTGTTGTATAATTTTGGGGGAAATTATAAATGAGTTACTGTTACAAAAAAAGGTGTAATCTTTAATCTGTAAATATGAAATTATGCAAAATGAGTTTTTTTCAACATTTTGAACCAAAAATGTCAACGTGTAGCACTTACCTAAGCCATACTTTCCATGTTCATCCTTAGTTATATTCTGAAGGTTATTACAGAGGAATTTATTAGCACAATGATTTTTTTAACTGATTTACATACCATTTTTTTGGTTAAAAGTATGGCGATAATCGCATTTTAATACGTGTTCATAGTATTTTAATATTTTTAAATAAAAAAAAGATATCCGAAATCTGTTCTGTAAAACTTTGTAACACTAATTTGTTGTTAAAATGAAATAAAGATTACAAGTATAACTATTTTCAGTGATTCTATATTCTAGATTTTTGTTTTGTTAAATATATGTAAATAATAGGGCTGGGCAAAAAAAATAGATTTTTCGATTAATCGTTTTTTTAAATGACGTTTAAAACGTTTAAATTTATTTCAGCACACATTTAAAACGAGATCTGATTAATGTGGATCTTATCATTAGTCTTCTCCACTAGATGTCACCCTCTTGCGCGATGTTACAACAGAAAGCCTGTCATTCATTCAGCGCTTATCATGGCGGAGATACTGTTGACAAGAACCAAGAACAAAGCAATACGCGTGATTCGCAATGCTCAGGTGAAGTGCTATAGTAATACTATAAACCTGCGGAAGAATTTGATATCACGCATAAGGCACCATGATTTCCGCAATGAATGAATGAATGGCGCGGTTTTGTTTACTACACGCATACTAAAGCGCGGATGACGCTCGCGGTGTTTTCAGCTTCTGCCGTCTCACTATATGATGATATGAACACGAATGTCATCTCCAGCTGCTCTGAGAGTCACTTCATTAGCATTTACCGTTTCATTTGAGAAAACTACCGTCATATCACATACACAGCAGCTGCAAGTTCTTCACGGCAACCCGTCAAAATAAAAGTTTAGTTTAACGTTAAACTGTCAGAATATATTACTATTTAGCAGTCTGAAGACTCAATGCTACTACTGCTAATAAATATTAATAAATCTTTATTTTTAAAGGAATAATCACATCGGTTTTCTTTTTAATTTTAACCGTACACCTCTGTTGTGCAGCACTTTGTTTGCCAAAAAATAAAAGGGTTTAATTTTCATTTGATTAGGATAAATTAAATTAATGTTTTATGCCTTCATCTGATTACCAGAAAAATTAAGAACATTTTATAGAGCCTATTATTGTTTAAAAAAGGACCCATACAAAAAAAGAATAGGTTTAAAATACAGGCCTGTGGCTTAATTTCTTTTTCTTAATTCACCATTTGTAAACTGATGTTTACTGTTCATTTTTTAGAAATATCAATAGCATTTGTATTAAAACTATATTCACTGAATGTAATCAAAAAATCGAGAATCGAATCGGGACATCTGAATCGATACCCAGCCCTAGTAAATAAGCACATATTTAATGAGATATTAGCTTATTTGCATATCTAAAACTTGTTTTGTCAGAAAACTTGCAATGCAAAAAAAAAGTTAATAATAACGTATTTAATTTACTGGTAAAGTTTCAAGTTAATATGTTTAAATAAATAAAAAAATCTCTATTCACCTGCAGTGTCTCGTCTTAAGCAACATGACATGAGCAAGAGGGTGCAGCTTTCCCTGAAAACCAGTAGGACTGCACATTTGACATTGATTCAGACAAGAGTTCAAAAGTAGTTAATATTAAGTGACTTACATTTTAATACAATATTGTATTAACATCTAAATGCATCTTTAACAGCTTCTGTTTCGGTTTGATCGGTTTTGTTAACACTGAATTCATTTGATTTGTAACATACCAGTCTTATTACGTTAAATGATGTTGTTAATTATTAATATTATTAATAATTATTTACTCTGCATGGAGTAACGGTCTAGGCTATTGTCAAAGTTTAAATGTAATATTAAATATTCATTATAATATAATAAACAGGATGTGTTCTCTCATTTGAGAAATTAAAATCTTGAAATAACTGAGCAAAAAAAAAAAAAGCCAGAGATGTTGGCTTATTAGTATTATAAAAGTTATTGTCATATCTGTGTCCTCTTATGTCAGGTTCTTATTGAATCAATAAATTAAATTGAATAAAAAGACATGCTGGCTATTAGCAATCAAATGAAATCACTATCAACAAAATTCATAGATGGATTGTGCCTAAATGTTAATTTTAAATATAACATTCTAATGTAGAAATATTAAATGATTGCAAAAATGAATAAGCTACTTTTTAAAATGTTAAACTACAACCGCCAGTAGGTGGCAGCAAGTGACTGTCTTAATGAGTGAGCTGAATCAACCGATTCGTTTAAAAAGCTGATTCATTTAACTTTGCAAACGACCGATTGAATCATTTACTGGTCCGTGTAACGCTGAGGAACAAAACACTGTTGTTCGGAGACTTTTGGAATTTTGTGTCTGAAAGTTACTCTGTAAGTTCTTGTTTATTGTACATTTGCGATCGTGCAGATATTCAGGGAAAAAGGGCTCTTGTTTGTGTGATAGGCTAAGTCCTATATCATAGGCATAGTAATAAACACAGAAACTCATTAAATTGCTATTTTGTATTTAAAATCATTGTGATGACATTTCTTCTCCACTATGTGTAATGGCAGTAAGACGAGAGAGAGCGCTCAAAACTCATCAGATGATTGCATAATTTAGTGGAACATTAATATAGTAATATAGAATCATCCTCTGTAAAAAAATGAGGTGGGAACATTTGAGAATTTATTATTATCTTTCTAAATGTGCGATCTTTGGGGCTAAAGGCTTAATGGAGCTGTTTAAAGTAGCCATGTGATAACAAACCAACCAGTGCAGACGTGATTTAATACGTGCGTCTTCTTCTCTGTGAAATAATCATAAATACCAGTCCAGGGCCGCTGCTGGCCAAATGTGTGCCCTAAGCAGAACAGCATTGTTGTGCCCCCTCCTTCAAAAAAAAAACACCCTACTATAAAGGGTCAAAATAGAACTTTAATAAAATATAAAAGTAAATAAATAGTAATGAAATTGGATTACAATTGTAGCTAGACAGTCACATATGGCTATGATTTTACTAATACAGTTGTCTGATTGATTTTATAGTCTCAAGCATTCAGAAATCACACAAAATAAAATTAAGCAGTTTTACTACGATAAAACCATGGTTAATTTTGGTAAGGGCTGTGATGTCCACATGTTTTTGTTGAAGAAATGAAGTGGATATTTGAATGAAATGTGTGGTCAATATTAAAGAAGGATGTGATCGTGCTGTAAGTGTAGCAACAGCAATTATCAGGCCTTTGGTGCCCTTTGCAGGCATTTGTAATAATGCAAATTGTTCATTTTGTATTACATTATGTATTTAACAGTGTTATTCAATGAAACCATATGATTATTATTAATTAACCAATCATTATTGCCTCATTGTTTTTATATAATACGTTTTAAGTCATGGAAACTATAATATTAAGTCAGATGCGTTGTTGGTGGTGGTGAAATTATTACCGACATTAAAACAGTCAAAAAAGTTTCACAGGATTATGAACGTAGTTACCTGAAAGTGATGCACGGGCTTCATCTCAGGTTTTTATTTTTCTTTTCTCTGCGCCGGACTGCGCTGATGTCTTTTCCCTGATATAGTCTAGTTGTCCATTAATTATGATGATCATTTATATTCAGCTGCAAACATGAGGTGATAGCGAGCACGGGCGCGGGTGCAGATGCCTACTGCCTACTGCAATCATCATAAAATGCATTTTTATAATATATATATAATATATATATATGCTAATGTTTAGATTTTTATTTATGTATATGTTAATATTAATATAGAACGAAAGTTTTTTTTGTTTTTTTTTGAGCAACTGGGATGCTGGTTGGTGCCCTACACAAACTGCATACTCTGTGTATAGGGAGCGGTGGTACTGTACCAGTTTATGCTGTTTGATTGTGGCCTCGAAGGTCGTAGCTGTAAGCTGTAGCCCCAGCTGGCCCGTTTAGATCATGCGTGCACAGTGGAAATGCAGCTAATCATTTTTTAATTCTGACTGGCATATAACGAACAAATCAAACAAACGTAAATGGGCAACATAAACCTAGAATCCAGAAACATTACATTTTTTTCTTGTGCTGCTATATTTGATTTGGAACTCGTGCGGGAAAATGTCTAAAACTCTGGCAAACCTTTCCCTCAAGCAGGTAACGTTATTATTGCTAACATAGTGGACTCATCGAAAAATATATTGGCATCATGTATTAAAGAGAAAATAATCACTTCATGCGATGTTTAAGTGAATAAAATAGCCTAGACAGTCTTACTGGAGTTCCACAACTATTGGCTTTGCTCTCTCTCACTGAACTCGTGTGTGTGTGTGTGTTGGTGATGTAAAAGAGGAAAGCAGGCATTGGGACCAAAGCACTGTGAGGCAAGAGAGGGGGATACTCAAAATGTTTCTAAACTTAAAACACATTTTAATGCATTTCTACTTACAAAATTATTTAAAGTATAAAACATTGTTATTTACAATACACAGCATGGTTTTAATCATATTTTTAGGGGGGACAACCCTCAGTGAGGGGGGGTCCTGTCCCCCCCGACCCCCCCGGGATTTCCGCCTATGACTACATGAGGTAGACAAAACTCGTTTATGAAAACTTCTATTCAAATTGTGAATAGCAGGACGTATAGGCGGTTTCACTGTCAGTGCAGAGGCGGTACGCAAGCAGTGCTCATGCACCCAAACTTCCACTTCAGAGATAAAAACATGTTTGATCTTTTTATTGCCTTTAACCTAAGGCAGATTATTGACAACAAATGGAGCATTTCACTGAGCTCATGTCGGTGTGGGGAAAACATGATGATCATTTAAAATGTAGCCTAATGGAATTCCCATTTGATGATCCATCAAAAATCTTTTACAGAGAAATATATAAATAGATAAATGAATAATGAGTATGACGTTCCCAAAAAATAAATATCTCGTGGCCGCGACGTTTTATCACGTTTCCACGAGTTAATATGACGTTCCCAAAAAATAAATATCTCGCGGCCACGACGTATTATCACGTTTCCACGAGTTAATATGACGTTCCCAAAAAATACATATCTCGCGGCCACCACGTATTATCACGTTTCCACGAGTTAGTATGCCGTTCCCAAAAAATAAATATCTCGTGGCCGCGACGTTTTATCACGTTTCCACGAGTTAATATGACGTTCCCAAAAAATACATATCTCGCGGCCACCACGTATTATCACGTTTCCACGAGTTAGTATGCCGTTCCCAAAAAATAAATATCTCGTGGCCGCGACGTTTTATCACGTTTCCACGAGTTAATATGACGTTCCCAAAAAATACATATCTCGCGGCCACCACGTATTATCACGTTTCCACGAGTTAGTATGCCGTTCCCAAAAAATAAATATCTCGTGGCCGCGACGTTTTATCACGTTTCCACGAGTTAATATGACGTTCCCAAAAAATACATATCTCGCGGCCACCACGTATTATCACGTTTCCACGAGTTAGTATGCCGTTCCCAAAAAATAAATATCTCGTGGCCGCGACGTTTTATCACGTTTCCACGAGTTAATATGACGTTCCCAAAAAATACATATCTCGCGGCCACCACGTATTATCACGTTTCCACGAGTTAGTATGCCGTTCCCAAAAAATAAATATCTCGTGGCCGCGACGTTTTATCACGTTTCCACGAGTTAATATGACGTTCCCAAAAAATACATATCTCGCGGCCACCACGTATTATCACGTTTCCACGAGTTAGTATGCCGTTCCCAAAAAATAAATATCTCGTGGCCGCGACGTTTTATCACGTTTCCACGAGTTAATATGACGTTCCCAAAAAATACATATCTCGCGGCCACCACGTATTATCACGTTTCCACGAGTTAGTATGCCGTTCCCAAAAAATAAATATCTCGTGGCCGCGACGTTTTATCACGTTTCCACGAGTTAATATGACGTTCCCAAAAAATACATATCTCGCGGCCACCACGTATTATCACGTTTCCACGAGTTAGTATGCCGTTCCCAAAAAATAAATATCTCGTGGCCGCGACGTTTTATCACGTTTCCACGAGTTAATATGACGTTCCCAAAAAATACATATCTCGCGGCCACCACGTATTATCACGTTTCCACGAGTTAGTATGCCGTTCCCAAAAAATAAATATCTCGTGGCCGCGACGTTTTATCACGTTTCCACGAGTTAATATGACGTTCCCAAAAAATACATATCTCGCGGCCACCACGTATTATCACGTTTCCACGAGTTAGTATGCCGTTCCCAAAAAATAAATATCTCGTGGCCGCGACGTTTTATCACGTTTCCACGAGTTAATATGACGTTCCCAAAAAATACATATCTCGCGGCCACCACGTATTATCACGTTTCCACGAGTTAGTATGCCGTTCCCAAAAAATAAATATCTCGTGGCCGCGACGTTTTATCACGTTTCCACGAGTTAATATGACGTTCCCAAAAAATACATATCTCGCGGCCACCACGTATTATCACGTTTCCACGAGTTAGTATGCCGTTCCCAAAAAATAAATATCTCGTGGCCGCGACGTTTTATCACGTTTCCACGAGTTAATATGACGTTCCCAAAAAATACATATCTCGCGGCCACCACGTATTATCACGTTTCCACGAGTTAGTATGCCGTTCCCAAAAAATAAATATCTCGTGGCCGCGACGTTTTATCACGTTTCCACGAGTTAATATGACGTTCCCAAAAAATACATATCTCGCGGCCACCACGTATTATCACGTTTCCACGAGTTAGTATGCCGTTCCCAAAAAATAAATATCTCGTGGCCGCGACGTTTTATCACGTTTCCACGAGTTAATATGACGTTCCCAAAAAATAAATATCTCGTGGCCATGACGTATTATCACGTTTCCACGAGTTAATATGTTGTGGCCATGAAAAAACTAGCCTAAGTCATCGTAAATGCTTCGTTCGACTTTTCGGAGATCATCTACTCTTCCCTGTGGATTACCTCTGACCTACTTTCTCTACGATCTGAATTTCTGCGTTTTGAATTTTGAATATTGAATTTGATGTTCTGAATTTCTTCTTCATCTTGAAAACTTGAAGCTGTATTTTTAAAAACTGGATATTTGCAGTCTAACAATTCAGAACAAAAAATCCGCTGTTTGAGAATACATGTCTGTAAAAAAACTGCCATAAAAAATTCAATTGTGTTAAATCTCAAATGTTCAATATTAAATTTTTTTTAAATTTTATTCAGAACTATGTTAAATGCCACATAAAATTCAGTTTTGTTAAATGACACTTGTCAATAGGGTTGGGTATCATTTGAATTTTATCAATTCCGATTCCGATTCTGCTTTTCGATTCTTTTCGATTCCCAGTTTCGATTCCAATGTGATTAAATAATGATATCAAACATTTATCCTGTGTCTCTTTTTTGCAAACCATTTATTGGAGCTGAAAACCATGAACACAAATCAACAGGCTACACTGTAAAAAAAGTTCCGTAAAAAAAATGGTAAATGACTGGCAGCTATGGCTGCCAAACAAAAACCGTTAAATTAAAGTAAAATATCATAATTGAAACAAGTTTTTTTCTGTAAAACCTTTAATGAAAATGTCTGTAAAATTATTGTTTTTGCACTTTATTTCAATTAAGATATTTTACTTTAATTTTACGGGTTTTGTTTGGCAGCCGTAGCTGCCAGTCATTTACCATTTTCTTACAAGTTTTTTTTTTTTTTTACAGGCTACATAAAAACTGGACTCTTTAAGAGCTGTTTGTGTGCAAAATAGAGCTGCATGATTCTGGATAAATTTAGTTTTTTCCCCCCAAAGTAAGTTGTGGTTCTCATGATTCTGAAGAAAAAACATTAGACGACTAAACAAAATCACATGTAATTTATGAATACATGATTAAATGACTCACTCAATTTAGTGGATTACTGGATGAATCAGCGTTCTTGAACGAATCTCTTGTATGATTTAAAGAAATACATTTTAACAGACCCTTTTCGCCACCTACTGGTGTAACAATGTAATCGATAAATCTTGATTTGAAGTGTCAAAATTACTTTCAAAAGGTGATTTAATCGCTACCATTTCAATCGTACACACAGTTTATATCTGAACTATAAACTTTTATCCCAGTACTTCTGTGATTTGAATGTTTGTAACAGAAATAATGATACTGTGTGGCTGAAAAGACTGAAGCGGTTTCATTCATGACAGACAGCTGCTCTCTTTAGGTCAGCGGCAGTGCCTGGCAGATCGCTAGGTCCGGTCCGCACAGATGAAAGAAAAAAGCGCATAGGAATCGATAGGCGGAATCGAAATTTTAATTTGACAACAAGTATCCGATTCCTGAACTTACGTATCTGATTCTGGAATCGATTCCCAACCCTACTTGTCAATAATTCAAATTTACACAATTCAAATAGTTTGACATATTATAAGCTCCATAGAACAGTTGTATGTGATATTTGTGTGATTTTATTTGGGGTGTAACGATTCACTGGTTTTCTCGATGAATCGATTACAAACCCTGACGATGCATATGCATCGATCTTGAAACATGATTTTTGAATCGTGAATCGTCGATTTCAGACAGTAATCGATTTAAAACTCTAAGAATCGAATGAATCGCAATCTCTATAGCGATTCAATGCTTTCAAAATATATCCACATTAAATGACTACAAGCAGGAATTAATGGAGACCTTGAACAGTGTTTGTGCCTCGCATCTCTCCTTCATGCGCTGCACTATTTCCCGCCTGCAGTGACTGTTACAGGATTGCACTCGCGCTCCATTCGTCTCACTGACACATGTCTTGAGCAGCTGATGTGATCTCTCCTTAGTACTTGTGGCTAGTAATGCTAAAGTGAAGTAGTTTTGCTTTTCTGTAGTTTTTCAATGGCTCTCGGTCATACCGACGACGACATTACCTGAGCAGTCGAAGGCTGCGCATTTATG